GACCTTCTTCAGAGGCATAAAGATGAGGACGCCGATCATGCCGGCCGCCGAGGTGGGAAGACTGAGGCGGAAAATGTTACGCCAGCCTCCGGTGTTCTCGGTCCGCGTAGTCAGCGCGCCGCCGACGACGGGTCCTATGCCGTTCGCAACGGCGACGAGTGCTCCGAGGATGCCTTGATACTTGCCTCGCTCTCGAAGGGAGACCACGTCCGAGACGATGATCTGGGCTACGGTCATGATGCCGCCGCCTGCTATACCGACGATGGCACGGAAGAGAATCAGTATAGCGTATGTGTCGGCGAGGGAGGAGCCCAACGATCCGATGAAAAAGAGTGCAAGGAGTGAAAGCAAGAGAGGTTTGCGCCCCACGATATCCGAGATGCGGCCATAGAGGAGCTGGAACGCGGTCGAGGTGATAAAGTAGGCAGAGGAGATCAGGCTGGTCTGCGATCCAGCATGTAGCTTCTCGCCGATGATAGGCAACGAGGCAGCAAGCGTGGTCTGGTCCATCAGCGCGATAAAGTCGATAAGCCCGAGAGTGAGAAAGATGGCGATGATTTGCTTGCGAGGCACGTAAAAGGTCTGTTCGTTGAAGTTGTGCTCCCTCTTCTCCTCGCCGCCCTCCTCATCGGGGCTAGAAGGGGAAGTTGCCGGAAACTCTTCTGACGTCGCGGGGGGTATCGTACTTGATGCTGTTTCTGATGCACTGGCCGACATTATGATGATGGTTGTGGTGGTTGTCGGATGGATGCGTCGGTGGTCTTGGTGGCGCTGAAGAGGCGCAAAGAAGTGCGAGCCAGACGTACGAGCGAGGCGTAGGGGCAAAAGTCTTCGCGAATGCCAATGTACCGCCCGTCATGACACCACAGGTTGCTCTCTTCCTCGACTCTGCCTTCGGATCCCGATGGGCTATAAGCCCTTCGGCGCCTTTCACCTTCCTTTTCTTGATGAAAGTGGGGTCGGCTAAAATAGAATGGCTGTCCGTTACTGCGTGGTTTTTGCGTGCTATTTGCCATGCAGCGCGCTAAGGCTCGGCTAACGGCTAGGGTCGTGGCATGGCAGCAAACTCCGGATCCTTTTCTTCCATCGACAGCCACAGCTGGACAACAACGAAGAATGCCATGACCCACTACCTCGGAACCTTCGTAGATGCCAAGTCGGCAAGAACGAGCCGAGCACCGCTGAGGTAGATGACTGAGGTGGGTGAGTACCTTCTCGGAGCCTTTTTTACTTGCTTTATACGGGAGCCTTTTTTACTTGCTTTATACGGCACTCGCCTGTAACCTGCTCGTCGGCGGCGAAGGATGTCTTTGTTTGCTTGCACCGCACATTCGGATCAAATTCGCATTCGAGGTGGGGGCGAGCTCGCTCTCCTCATTTTTGCTGTTGCACTGAGCGGCGAAAGGGCCTGGTTCAGAACATAGTATAAAGGTCCCCCGCTCTTTCACTCCCGACAAAGTTGTTCTCAGAATGCTCAAAATAGAGACGATCGAAGGCGACGGAAACAAAGCATGGCTCTACCAGGAGACATCAAGAATGTCTTTCGCGGACCCAGGTCTCTACACGACGTGAGCTCAGCTCGATCTACCCCTCTTCGATCCACCTCTATGCTGACATTGCTGTTGTTTTTGCCTTCGTTTCTGCCGCAACCAGTTCTACGATCCAGACAAGAACGTAGCAACGCCGCTTGTCGAAATCCCGTCCTCTCTCAACCCATTCTATCAGGACGGCGTGCGTATCTTTGCCAAGCTGCACTCGGATCTGCCCGCCAAGAATGTCAAGAGCCTTCCCGCCCTCAATATGCTCCGTCAAGCCGGCCTTGACGCTGGACTGAGTGGTGACAGCAAAGACGAGCAGCCTTCAGTGTCAAACATTGTAGAATACTCTAGCGGATCCACTGTCATCTCGCTCGCCATCATCGCCAACATTTTTGGCCTCGACGGTGTCACCGCCTACCTGTCCAACAAGGTCAGCTCTCCCGACCCACACGATTCTACCCCAGTCCAGCACGACCACGCTCACACGCCCTCGACTATTTTGTACAGACTTCGAAGGCCAAGCTTGATCTCATGCGTTTCTTCGGTCTGAAGCTGCGTGTCTTTGGGGGACCGTCGCAGCCAGAGCCAGCCGATGTACGCGGAGGAATCTGTGCCGCAGCGGAAGACGGCAAGAAGCACGGCTGGTACAACCCTAACCAGTACGAAAACGAAGCCAACTGGAAGGCACATGCCCAGTGGACCGCCACACAGCTTGATCGCCAGCTCGGCAACGAACTCGACATTATTGTAGCGTAAGTGCCGCCCCTTGCCACGAGACACCAGTGCTCAACATACTTACACACTGACGACGAAACAGTGGAATGGGCACATCGGGAACCATGACAGGAACGGGACTTGCCATCAAGAAGCTACAGCCGCACGTGCATCGAGTCGGAGTGACGACGCAGCCTGGCGACCGTGTCCCTGGTCCACGCTCCGAGGCTCTCCTGGCTCCCGTCACCTTTCCCTGGAGGGACAGCATCGATGCGATGGAATGGGTTGGCAGTCGAGACGCCTACACGCTCAGTCTGAAGCTGTGCCGCCATGGTCTTCTCGTCGGTCCCTCTTCCGGCTTCAATCTGCAAGGACTACTGCAGCACCTGGGCCGACACAAAGAAGAGGGACGACTCGACTTGCTGCGCCACCCGACGCGCGGAGATGGGCTGATCAACGCCGTCTTCATCTGCTGCGACGGTCCTTACCAGTACATTGACGAGTACTGGCACAAGGTGGACGCCTCGGAATTCGAGTCGATCGATGACGACATCCTTCTCGACGTCGACACCCACCGGTACGATGATGCTTGGGAACTCGATGCGGCGCAAGCCATCTCTCGTTTTGGGCTCGTCAGGTCAGACGGTAGATTGGAGACTGGATCGGAAAAGTACGAGAGAGAGCAGGCGGCCCAGCTCTTCGAAGCGGCGATCCATGCTGGAGACTCGCTCGTGTCCGTGGCGCCGTCGCTCAGCAGCAGATCAACCTCGCTGGGCTCGATCTTTGACTCTGTCACAGATGCATCGTCCATCTCGTCGGACTCACATTCGTCCAACCCAGAGGCCGTCCGCATCTTGATCGACCTGCGTGATCAAAGTGACTGCCAGCCCTTGGCCTTGGGGCATCCGATTTTCTCGGTGCCTCTCAGTTCGCTCTCTGCGTTCAAGGACACGTGTCCCTTTTCGGATGCACAGGTGCTGCGCGCCCAGTGGCTCGAGCTCAAGCCTCTCTTTTCCAAGGAGCACGATGGCTTACCAGCTGACCTGCGTGCGCACTTTGTGGATTCTGACGTCGCAGAGCTCGACTTGGTCTTTCTCTGCCACACGGGCAACACATCGCGTATTGCCACCTCGATTGCCCGCGATGCCGGCTACTCGGCCTGGTCGATCGCCGGGGGCGTGAAGTCGCTTGTAGCTGCCTTGTAACGCCACACCGATCGACAGTCAAGAATGGCATCCTCTATTGATTCGAGCCTGTCTCGCTTGCCTTTCTTTTGGACTGTGTTACGGCCCAATGCGTGGTCATGAGCAGTGATTCACTTGAGGTCGTCCGGCAGACCGCCGTCGAGCCATGTCTTTGCGGCGCGGAGGAGGGCGTCGTGCTCGGCGCCGCGATGTCCGGGCATGTCTCGCTTGACCTTGAGCGGGGAATCGGACTTGCCTTTCATCGAGATCTCCTGGCAGTAGCCGAGATAGCGATAGCCGCTGGGGAAGGTCGCCAGCAGCTCATCGTCCAGCTCGGGCACCTTTCTTGGGTCGACGGGAATGAGCTTGTCCTTTTCGTACCAGTGGCGGACGAGCTTGGCGCCCCAGCTCGGCGTGCCGTCGGCGGCGGTGTAGCGTTGGAAGAAGAAGCAGAAGCGACAATCGGACTCGGCATCCACTTCGATGTTTCCGTCGAGCACGAAGCGCTGGGTGATGGTGGCCTTCATCTTGCAGATGGCGCGGTCTCCGAGCAGGTCGACAGAAGTGCCGTGAATGCGGTGCATGATGAAGGCGCCTGCCTCCATGCTCGCTTTGCTTGCCTCGATAAAGTCGTTGATGTGCGTCTTGCCGGTCCATGTGGTGTAGACGTATGCTCCATCGGGATGGAAGATGGACCGAAAGTTGTCCCACTCTCGCGCGTCGCGGTAGAGCGGCCACCCCTGCGCCAGCTCGACGATGCACCAGCGTTCCAGTGCGAGGTCCAGAGGACCATTGTTGCGGATGGCCTTGTCGGGGCGCGTGTTGGCCGGCAGACCCGAGAGTGGAACTTGCTCCGTAGGCGTGGTCATCGCGGTGGTAGACGGAGGAAGGCGGCAGATCGATGAAACTGCTGGTGATGAGCAACGAGCGACCAAGCCAAAAGACCAGGACGATCTTGCTCTTTATTTATATCCTGGATTGGGAATACGAGTGGGTATTCATTTAAGCGCCTCCCGTCAATTCCGTTCCCCACAGCTGGCTCCGATGCGTCGGAGTCGAACTTGACGCTCTCGTGGCCACGCCGTGAACGAGACGAACACCGGCAAAAAAGGTTTGGCCTCGCCAGTCGCCCTCCTCCGAGGCCGCTCGATTCTGCACCGCTTGGAAGAAAGAGTATCACTTGCGACCTCGATACCTGTTCTACTTGTGGCTGTCGTGTGGCGTTGACTCGTACGGCCACCCCACTGCTCGCTGGGGATGGTGGAGTGGCCGTTTCTCTCGCGGATCTCGGCTGACCACAGTGATCCATTCACAGATGACGCGGCGTGTTCTGAGCACTTTGCATCGGAGTATTACCATTGCTGCCCTAGCACAAGTGTTCGAAGAGCTGGACAGTTGTACGATGGTACCGGTGCATGTGCCCGGAACGGAAGCGGGGATCGGGGACGCCTTTGTGGACCCTGGGCGGGGCGCGTATGTCTTGGCGCGTAAATCATTTCCGATGGAAGCGGCGACCAACTCACATCGGTCCGATTTGCCGAACTCCGGAAGCACGTTTCGCACGTTGCACCCACAATCGGGTCGCAGCTCTGCGCAATGACAGCAGTGGGAGCCGCACGGGCAGGCAGCTGGTGGAGCTTCTGTGCGTCTCGCTCCATCTCACGCTGTCGTCTTCACAACCCAACAAACATGGCAGGGTACACCGCCTTGCACTCGACGAGACGGAGCTGCAACTTGCTCCGTCGCCGGTGGCTCTTGCTGGGCCTGTTGTGCTTCACCGTGTCAGTCATTTATCTGTTCAGCCGCGATCGCACTCTCCGCAATACGCTCAGCTACAGTACCCGGCCGCTCTGGGACAAGTTCGACGACACCATCCCACACGATGAGATTAGGCATTACACGGCGTGGTCGCTTCCAGCCAACGACACAGCCGCATGCGCCCGCCACGGCTGGACGCCATACCCGCCAGCACAACGACCCAAGGTGTACGATGTGATCATCTTTAGCGTCGAGCTCGAGATGCTCGAGCTGCGCTTCAAAGAGCTTTACGACGCTGTAGACACATTCGTCATTGTCGAGAGCAACACCACCTTCACGGGCAAGCCCAAGAAGCTTGGCTTTGATGCAGCCAGGTACGCGCAGTACCGCGACAAGATTCAATACTTTACCATCGCAGGTCGTGCACTGGCACCGGGCGAAGGGCCTTTTGCGATCGAGGGCGAGCAACGCAAGCACGTCACCGAGCTGCTACGTTCGCAGGTGCAGCCTCCCGACGGCAGTCTGATCCTCATGTCCGATGTCGACGAGATCCCTTCGCTCGCTGCTGTGCAGCTGCTGACCACCTGTCAATCGCCTCTGCCCTTGCACTTGTCCCTGCGATCGTACGTCTACTCGTTCGAATTTCCCACCACCGCCAAGTCGTGGCGTGCACAGGTACATGCCTGGACATCCTCCGACACCTGGTACAACCACGGCAAGGTCACCGACAACATCCTCCTCGACGCTGGTTGGCATTGCTCCTCCTGCTTCCACCGCATCTCCGACTATCAGTTCAAGATGCAATCCTACAGCCACAGCGACCGCCTCTTCGGCAACCGACACTGGCGTCAACTCCTCCATCCCAACATCATCCTCGACAAGATCTGTGCAGGCAAGGATCTCTTCGACATGCTCCCGGAAGCATACACCTGGAGCGAACTGCTCAATCGTTGGAGCGGCGAAACTCGCAGCAACACCACAGCCAACCTGCCCAGAGGCTTGATGGACAATCAGTCCAAGTTCAAATTCCTACTCCCCGGCGGATGTAAAGCACGAGATCTGGCGTCAGGACTGGAATGATCAATCGCATGCTCGTCTTTTCTATTGCAACGCCCCCTTGATTCGGTTTACCGTGCCTTCAACCCTGGGCAAGATGAATCCCTGAGATGTTCACCGAATCCTACCGCTCAAAATCAGCCACCAAGGTTGACAGCGTAGGCCAGAACTACGAACCGATCTCTTCGACACGCGACGACGGTTGCATCGAGTCGATGGTACACATTGAGGAGAGAAAAGGCCGAGACTAATACAGCAGAGGCAGGCGTACAAAAAGATCGTCGCGGAGAAAAATGGGGGAAGGGAAAATGGAGCAAAAACCGATGCGCTGCCATGCGTGGTGCCGCTCTTTAAGCCTCGCGATTGCGGCCGACTGCCGGAAGGTCCAGGTAGCTCATCAGGTCAGCATAGCTAAAGATGCTCGAGCTCTTGGAGAAGAGCAAAACCACTGCAGCGATCAGCAAGACCGGAATCCAGAACCACACCAGCATCGCGTCGTCGCGCAGGTGCAGCTGCGTCTTGCGACGTCGTGCAACGGCGGTGGAAGTCTTGGCCTTGGCGCTGCTGCTGGTGCTCGTGGATGCTGCACGTCCTGCAGTCGCTGACGACGACGAACCCTCGGCAGTCGCGTGCGCAGATCGTCGACGCGTCGAGTTTTTGCGAGACGGACCGGCGATGGGAGTGCCAACCTCCGATGCGTTCTCAGCGCTGCGGCTGGTGGACGCAGACGGCGTTCCCATTGCGGCCTCCGACTTGCCATCCTGATCGTCTGCGGCTGCGACCGACTCGTATGCCGGCGGAGGCGAGTAGAGAGGGTTGAGACCCCATGCACCTTCCTCGACAATGTTCTTCCAGAGCGTCAGCAGACGGCCGCGCTCGTCGTGCTCCCAGCCTGCGGCGTCATCCGAGCGTGCCTTGCCCTTGGCGGCAGACTCGTTGGCAGCGGTCGAATCCGAGTCGTCAGCGCCTCGGTCGGCGCGCTGAGATGCTGACCACGGCATGAACGCGGGTGCAGGCAGACCGAGGTGGAAGACGTTGATCGCCGGCATGGCGGGCATGGCGGGCATGTGAAGCTGAGCGAACTTGTGCGCCACGGTCTGCGGCAAGAAGCCGCGGTTCATCCAGTCCGCGCCGGTGTCGCCGGCCTTGGTCAGCCACGACTTGTTGGCTGAACTGTCGCGCTCCGCCTTATCATCAGCGCGCTTCTCGCTAGGCAGCTTGGCATCGGATTCGGAACGACGGGCGTCCAGGGCCTTGAGCGAAGCCTTCTCGTCGATGACCGGAGTCGGCAGCTCAGAGAGCGCCTGTCGGGCTTCCAGATCATCAGCCGTATCAATTAGCGTGCCGCGTCGGGGCACGGCGTCAGCCTCGTCATCGCCGCCCACCGAGCAGCTGTCGTCGCTGCATTCGTCAAAGCTGGTGCTGACGTTATCATCGTCGACGTCCGAGTCGCTGGCTTCGCTGCTAAGCTCGTCGGACAAGAGGTCCTCCTCATCTTCGTCGTAGTGCAGGCTCGAGGCGGCGTGCGACGTGAGTCTGCGCGTCTGCCAGTGGCCAGTGCGGGCGGTGTTGTCGAGGATCATTTCGACGTCGACCTGCTCGTTGTTTCGAGCGAGGTCGACGGCATATAGACCATTTGCATCGGCAACATCATCACGAGCACCTGCGCGGAGCAGCATGCGTGCGATCGTGACGCGGCCCTGAATGGCGGCAAAGTGGAGCGCGGTGACCCCATTGCGGTCGCGCGCATCCAGCGGGCAGCCTCGGCGGATGAGCAGCTCCACAAGGCGGTGGAAGCCCATCAGCGTGGCGAGGTGCAGCAGCGTATGGCCTTGCTTGTTGGCCAGGCGGATCGCGTCCATACGGGGCTGAGCGTCCGGAATGCTGCTGACATCCGCGTCCAGCAAGGAGAGGAACTGGATGACGCTGTCCTGGAAGTTGGAACTCTGCGATCGGCCGGCAAAGAGACCAGCCACGGCCTCTCGCGCCTGTGCGTGGCCGAGGCCGTTGCTGCCACCGGAACCGGTGAATGCGGCCGGCATGCCCGGCTGTTGTCCACCACCAGAGCCAACGACGCGCATGGCAACCTCGCGGGCTGAGCGCATCTGCCCGGTCATCTGCAGGCCGACGACCTGGAGCGCCAGCTCCATGAGGGCTCGATCGGTCGTGTCAATGTACGTGAAGAGCTGCAGAGGCCCGTTGACCGGAGGCGGCTGTGGCACTTGAGTAGCACCCTTGACGCTGACGACCACGGGGCCGGGGCTGGTACTGGGCGGTAGCAGACATACCAGCGTGTTGCTGGCCCACACCTTGGTGTTGGACGCCGGTACGTCGCCGAACACGCACGTGATGCCCTCAGTGAAGTTTTCACCCAGCACGGTGACTTCGATGCCACCGCTGGTAGGGCCTTCGCCGGGAATGAGCTTGGAGATCTTCGGGATCGGCGGGTGCTCGATGCTGGGTGTAGGAGCAGGAGGCGAGGCCTGGGCAAAGGAGGGCGCCGGTGGTGCTGGTCCAGTGGAGTTCGGACGCAGATGGGGAGGCAGCGCAGCCGCTGCGGCCATCGCCATCAACTGTGCAAAGTCGACGCTGCTTGAAACACCGGCCTGTGCGTTGCGGAAGAATTGCTCCAGGTCAAAGTTAGGCAGGCTGGCGAGGTTGGTCTGCAGAGAGGTGGGAGACAGTGAGCCTTGTGCGAGCTGCGCCTGGAGCTGAGGGGGCATGGACGACAGCGGCAGCGATGGCTGAGGTGGTCCCTGGGATGGCGGAAGACCTTGCGACGATCCGGGGCCCACCAACCCAGCGGGGGCGGGAGAGCCGCCGATACTGGAAGCATCGCCAGGTGTCTTGGCACCTGTGCTGGTGCTACTGCTGCGGCCCAGACCGTTCATGGCCGTGCCGGCACTGGCAAACGCGTTCCAGAAATCGGCCGAGCTGAAATCGACTCCATTGCCGACGGCAGCAGGCGAAGTGGCAGAAATGGAGGGCGTGTTCTGGCCAGTGCCCGAGTACGGCGTCATGTTGAGATCCTTGCCCGATGTATTGCGTCGACGTCGGTTGCCGTCGTAGGGCTTGGAGCGCTCCTTTCTCTGCTTGGGCGCGGTCTCGGTGGTGGTGCTGCCGCTGGGCGTGGCACTGCCACTCGTGGAATTGGTGCCGCCGGCTGGGCCGTCGCTGTGAGGGGATGGCTGCGGAGGCGGGTTTCGAGGGCTGGTGCCATTGACCTGCTTCACGACACCCAAGGAGGCGGTGGCCGAGGGCGAGGTGACGTTGCTAGAAGAGCCTGCCGCGGCTGCGGCTGCCTGAGCAGCTTGGGCGGCGATGCCCATCGACTTGTGGTCGTCGGTGATCATGATGGGAGGGGTGGAGCCAGTGGCAATGAGGCGGCCCTGCCAGTCTCGCATGGTGAAGATGACGCAGAAGCCGACTTTCTCCTTGTGGTGTCGGCAGTAGCACGTGATGCGTGTGGGAAGCACGGCCTCGCCCTCCTCAAAGTCGACGTAGTCGCCGCAGTTGAAGAGGACGACGCGCTTCTTCTCCTCGTCCTCCATGCGCGCTTGCGTCTTTTCCACAGCGTCGGGCGCGGATGGATCGATGCCAAGACTCTTCATCTCTTCTTCGGTGGGTTGACTTTCGAGCGGAGTCTTGGGATCCTTCTTGCGATGGGCGCGCTTGCGTTCGCGTTGGCGACAGCCTTTGCAGACGTAGACGCGATCGTGCGGCGGCGTGGCGTTGACGACCGTAGCATCGACGAAGAGGGTCTTTTCGGGAGGCACGTCGGTCTTCTGATACTTTTTCGACTTGCGCTTGGTTCCACTGAGCGGCGGGAGCTTGATGTGAGAGAAGGAGCCGATGCGCTCCCAACCGCCTGCAGGGACGCTTCGGGGTCGGACGAGTTCGATTCGCATCCGAATCTGCGTCTCCACGCGCGACTTGGCGCCGTGCATGGGAACACCGTGGATGTGTACCTGAAGGTCCTTGAGCCCCTCGCGGTTGGGACGCACCACGTCGAAGGCCGAGAATCCAAGGTCGGCGTCGAGGTTGTTGCTGTGGACTGCGGTTTGCGAGCCCACTCGACGCTGCGCAGCCGAGACGACACCCGCCGACTTTTTGGGCTCAGACGACTCGCCCGAATTTCTGCGAGATGAGGAAGCACTTGCGCTTGCATTTGCACTGGCTTTGGTAGCGCGCGAGGCAACGGGCTTGGCAGTGGGTGCAGACGGCGGCATCATGTTTGCCGACGAGTTGGTCGGGATGTTCATCGAGGCGAAGGCGTGACCATTGGAGCCGTTGGCCGTGAAAGAGGCGGCTTCGTGCTTGACTGCGGGCGAGCCAAACGAGCCGGATTGGACAAAGGAGTCGAACATGGCTTCGTCGTTGTCGCTCGTCTTGCCATTCCAAGCTGCTTCTGGATGGCCGTCCGAGTCGTCGCCGCTGCCTGCAAAGCTGACGGTTCCGGACACTGAGGCAGGATTGTGCGAGAGCGAGCCCGTCTTGCTGTCGGAGCCACTTGGGCTGTCGTTTGTCATGGCGTGCGAGGCGCCAGAGAAGCTGGGCATGGCGTTATGGGACGAAGCTGGCGACTGGATGGAGCGTGGAGAGAAGCCATAGTCGGTGCTGGAGGTGGAGTCCATGTCCATGGAAAGGTCTGCGTCGTTGGTGGTGGCGCCTAGGTTGGAAAAGTTGCCGTCCCAGCCTGAAAAGTTCATTCCGTCGAGAGCCAGCTTGGCTCGCTGCTGCGACTCGATGTTGTTGATGTCGAGGCCAGAGATGATGGACTGGGGATGTGCGCCCCAGATGCTGGGTGAATAAGCGTCGAAGTTGGTGGAGTTGGGATGGGATGGAGTTGGAGTGACGCCCGACTCGCGTGCGCGACGGTGGGATGCGCTGGGGCGCGTGTCCGACTTGAGCGCCGCCGCGTCTTCGTCGCCCGTGGAGTCGCTGGAGGTGGGGCTGCTAGTGTTGGTGAGGCTGGGCGGCGATGTGGATTGTGAGAGTGTGTGGGTGCTAAACTGGCTGTGACGAGGAGGGTTTGCAAAGCTAGCAGACATGGCCGACGGCGAGGGGTTGAGGCTGCTAAGTAGCTTCGATGGAGGTGGGTCGAAGGATGAAGAAGCCGATGGTGGCGCAGCAGATCACGAGATGCGGCGTCAACGTTGGCTGTGCTGTAGTAGCCTGGCCGCGAAAAGGCTGGAAAGTGATGTGATGGTCGAGTGGATAGGTTGATGCACAGCGCTCGAGTGCGGCTATGGCAGGCTGCTGGATGGGCTCGTGTGAGCGTATAGGCGAGACGAGAAGCGGAGCAGGAACGGCGCGATGCGATTGGAGCCTAGGAGGCCGCGTTGGTCTCGAGCTAGCTCGCGTCTGTAAGCCGTGAGCGGAGGCGTGCTGGAGTAGACGGTAGCAGTTGCGGTGATAGTGATGAGATGGTGAACGTGAGAGGCGGATTGATGGCCGACGCCGCGCGGAGAGAGGATGGTGAGGCGGTGGATTGAGATACGGACGACTGCAACACGTCCTGCAGTTGCTCTTCTGCCTTGGCGAGAGGTGCAAAAGAAAGGGCCAGAGCCTGCGCCTGAGCGAGGATGAGAACGAGCTGAGCCAGGCGATTTGAGGTCAAGTGGGCTCAGACGCGAGACGGCTGCAGCAGGTGGGAGAAGCGAAAAGACAGAGCAGGCGGCAGGTGGCAGGCGTGGGCGCGGATGGGTTGGCACTCTCTGCTCCAGTGCACCCCATCTCGGTCGACGAGTGCCGGCGCTCTGCGTGGAGTGGCGTGGCGTGGCGCTGCGTGTGCTGAGCTCTGTCTCTCTCTCTCT